TTCTGGAATCTTACAAACTGTACTCACTGTAATTAGCAAATGATCTTTGGATTACTGCTGAACCATGGCCAGAAAGGAAGTAACCAGCCAGAGTCCTCAATGATAGGAATGGATATTAGGAAATGGTTTAATCTATCCCAATGCTTCCATGTGAAATCTAAGGTATGAATTATAAATTATTCCTAAAATGAAGATTTTATGTCTTACACCAGGTACCAAAACGGAATTTAATGGATAGGACTTTCCACGCACGCAATTCACAAAGCACTCATAATCAAATCTTTCCCGACAAACTTTGGATCTGCTCTCAACTCCAACCAAAAGATGCTTTCACAAACTGTACTATGGTTGATACTGGGTTGTACGAAATATACCTAGAGCTCATACTTCAACATTTTCTCTGGTACACTGAATATACTAGGTACATGTGAGTTTAGCTATATCATATAAGTGCCTCAAATGATAGATTTGTCAATTGTAAAGAGCAGAGGTCAAGTCCAATATTCCCTCTTGCTCTCTGATGGTTCTAAAGATTTCTACAAGCATTATTCTGTGGCAGTTATTAAGAAACAGCAGGAGATGCTTACTCATCTTTAGCATTACTCACTGAGCAATGTTTTGGAATACAAGCCCATACAATAATTATCTCTTTAAACAGAAGTGGCAACAAAATAAGCAATAAAGTTCCTTTATAGAAAGAGTTGATTTTATATTTTACTTTGAAAAAAGAGATAGGCTTTGCTGGTATACCCACAACTTGTAAACATGGCAAATGGGAGTTAGATCCAATGGGATAAAGAAAACATAACATTAATATACTCTTCTGTATCACATAATGCAAAGTTATTCAAGTAAATTTTAATAGATTATGCTGTAACATCAAAATATTTGGTATGAGGGCAGAATTTTTAAAAAATGTACTTTGAATCATAATTCCAGTGACGTTTCCCATATTGTAATCAGTATAAAGTACAAAGGCACATTTACAGGATAGTAGTCTATTGCAAAGGAAACAAAAATATCCAGACATTTAGCATAACAACATATTTAAATTGCACAAAAGGATCAAAATATTAAGACTTACTGAGATTATTAGTTGGAGCTAGGTAATTTAATAACTTGATATCTGCAGAATTAGAAGGTTAATTGTTACTATAGTCGATATAGCCATCACTAGCTACATGAGATCAGAAAAAGGGCCCACTTAGAAATCAAAAGAATTAATTTATTTCCACTCCCCATTGCAACATATACTCTTCCCCTCTCCTTGTTCACCAATTCTGATTTTCTGATAATAAATGGCTTTTTACAGAATGTGAAATTGGAATCCAATGGAAAAAAGGCACTTTTAATTATTTTATGCTATTTTTAGTATTTTTGGAAACAAATGAAATTGTTTGATTTCTGTCTTAATACATTTTTTTTTTAAATCTTCATTGTAGTCTCTAGCTGTTCAGTGATACACCAAGAGAAAGTTCTCAGAGGAGTTGTTTCATTTTGAGTCTTCTGGGATATAAAGGAAAGAGACATACTAGAAAATTATTGGAAAAAAATTTTTCTGTAACACTTTAGCTATTGCTTGAAATAACAGAACTCTTTTCTCTCTCTGACTGGAGAATAGCTGACAACTTTGTCTTGAATGGGTGATATGCTTGTCAAATCCAAAGGAGGTTGGGAAAATATTAAATATATTTCAGGTCAGAATAGATAGCCAATTCCACTCTAGACTTCAAATTGGTTGAACATTTTTCCAGCCTCTCCTGTGATTGTATTATCCACTATTATTTATTATACCCCTCACCTCCAGCCAAAAACTACAGTGTTCCAATCTTGGCAGATTATTGTACATCCAAAAAGGACACAGTCTTATGGTCTAATCAAGTCCCACTCTCTACAACAGAAATTTAATGATTACTAATGGCAATTAACAGTCAATTCTCCAAGTGTCTATCTTTTCATTTTCTGCCCTTTCTCCTTTTGGGAAACCTCTAGAAACTTACCCTGAGCATCATTTTAGGTATTACATTAACTTCTCAGATTCCAGTAGATATTTTTAGTGACCTGACATCAAGTTGTCTTTTATACTTGAAACTTTCTCTTTTGCACCAACTATATTCTTACTAAATTAAATCCCCTTTACCCACTAAAGAGAAGTAAAGCTGACAAACAGCACAATGACATCAGAAAGCAGCTGTATGAATTTGGGGGAACTGTTTGGAAAAGCCTAAAAGAAAACTGTCAGAGAAATTTCAAGATAAGCAACTTCAAATTCCAGCAGTATTGGTGGGGGCAGGGGGAACATATCTCAAAATCTCAAATCTATGGAATAACAACAAAAACAAAAGGCCACTAAGTGGTGAAGAAGCAGATGGAATAAAAGTCAACTCAAAGGCTTCTCTGATTGCATCTGCAGGAAGATCATCCAAAATGACACAGTAAGAATGTTTTGGGGCCTCTCTGGAAGCCTAGAGGTTATGTCTCAGCAGTGTCACCACTACAGCCTGAGTTGATCCCCAGCCAAGGAGCTAACCCACATGGCCCGGCAGACCTCTCTTGTCTGGCCCACTGCTTCCCGCAGCATTGTATTTCAGTAAATCTGCCTGTTCTGCTCCCCACTCTGTCTCAGGTGAATCCTCTCACCTCCTCTACCTCTGGCCAAGACCCCAGTTCTTCTACACACACACACACACAAAATATTAAATATATATTATATATAAATAAAAAGAAAGTTCTGTGCTACACATATATCTTTCTCTACTGCAAAACTAAGCATAACACACCTAGCACAACTATACTGCCATTTCACCTTGCTCTTTTCTTACAGTTTATGACAATTCCAATGGATAAGCCAAAAATTTTAGCAATACCCCTTCATTAAACTAAGCTGAGTTTAAAATAGTAGGAAGCAAATTCTATGCTATTGAAAATGATAAAGTGAAAAAATATATTCCAAAGGTACAAACAAATTGGAATTATCATAATTCTTAAAGTATCCACCGAAACCAGTTTCTTCCCTTGAAATAGAAAGAATACCAAAGATCTAGTTGCATATGTTATTAGAAATGTATAATATGTGAAATTATCAAGATGAAAATATCAAATGAATGGTGTCACTGAATCTTCGCTTTTCAGAAAGTGATCTTGGGAAATATCAAGTTGACCATCAGCAAATAATAGATGTAACTTTCATTCATTGTCTATTTTATGGTGTCCTCAACAAAATGTGCCAGTCTGGAGAAACAATGCAAAATGGGGACGCACGAATCCTACTTTCACCGGTTTCAGATTATAGCACATCAATCCAAGTTAAAACTATACCATGTTAAAAATAGACTCAATTATGTAACTGCTTCATACAGCAAGACCTCTTAATAAATGACATTTCTATTGCTTATTATGTAACTGCCACTAACTAGTTTTGGGATTTCAGTTAAATCACTTAAAGTGTGGGTTTTATGTTCCTTGGGCAGAAAGTAAATCAATTTAGTTACAAGCTCATTGGAGTCTGTTTTTGTTCTCACAATCAAAATTTTTTAAATGTTGTTTCATGAATTACCTCTTAGTCTGTTTAGTCTGCTATAACAAAATACCACAAAGGGGAGATTAAAAACAACAGAAATTTCTCACAGTTCAGGAGGCTAGAAGTCTGAGACAAGGTGCCAGCAGAGTCAGGAGAGGGCCTTCTTCTAACTTGTTGACTTCTTGTATCCTCACAAGGTGGAAGGGCTGAGAGAGCTCTCTGGAGCTCTTCTATCAGGGCATTAATCCCAGTCAAGAGGGTCCCATCTCATGACCTAGTCAGTTTGCCAAGGTCCCACCACCTAATACTATTAATTAGGTTTTCAATATGCAGTGGGGAGCACATTCAGACCATAGCAAACTCCTTTAATCTTCATGATCATCTGCAACGAGAAAGGTAGAAGATGTGATTTGTGGACAATGGAACAGCTAGAGTACTGCCAGGGGATGGAAAACTTATCTCTAGACTCAACTTCAGTGCCTGAAGGCTCACATGATCCAGGACATGCAAGTACTAGAAGACATGGCATCAGGTCTGCTGCTTGCAAGCTTTGTGACCTTGAACAAGTTATTTCATGCTCCTGAATACTGGGTTCCTTAACTATAAAGCTGGAATGTAGCCTCACATAGTCACAGGATGCTTGGCATAGGATAAAATTCTTACAGCTAAATTTTATCCTATAATATAAGAATTAAGCAATATATCACCCTGTTATTATATAACAATTTTTTAAAAAAGATTTATTTATTTATACAAGCACTGGGTACAGTCAGAAGCGCGGGAGGGTGAGACAATTCACCAGAGCCAGAGCAGGGAACAGAACAGGTAGAAGGACCGAAGTACACTGCTGAGGGGAGCAGCGGGCGGCAGGAGAGGTCTGTGTGCCATGTGGGGCCCTCGCCAGTGGCCGGGGATCAAACCGGCACTGCAGAGGCTGCAGAAAGCTTTGCCGCCCAGCGCTCAACCGCTGCACCACCAAGGGAGGCCCTATAACAACAATTTTAACAAGACGATTGAATTCTCCTTCTGTCAGTAGGCACCTTGTCTGGGACTAAAGTTTTCCTTATAGCTGACTCCTGAGGGTGCTGTGCCCACACTTGTCAGCAGAGTAGGGTTGTCCTGTGACCCGAGCTAGAGAATCATGGTCTTCTAAATATGGCCATTTTTACCAAACAACCTATGAAGCAGGAAATTGACCTTGTGTGGAATACTTCCTCATACTTTTCCATAATGTAGCAATAAAACAAAACCAAACAAAAACGAAGTAACCTTCTCTGAAAATGGAAAGTCTCCTAGGAATCCTTTATTACTACCACTAATAACAACAATTAATGATTACTTATTGATTATACTTAGTCATGTGTCTCCATTTGAATTTCAATACCTATTTAAAAAAAAAAACAAACTTTTCCCTAGTTTTAATAAAAGTAGTCAACAAAGTATAAATATTGCAGACGATATAAGAAAGGCTTGTACAACATATTTGTTATCAATGCTTTATTGTTGAAAACAAAGTTGAAATTCTCTGGCACATAAAACAATTATTTCTACAAAAGGAAAGCCTACAAATCTTGATAATTTATACAAATAACAGTTTCTCAAAAAATAAAATTTTAATTTAGTAAACTTGTCTTGTGCTCTATATTTTTAGCACTGTCTGCAATAATCCACCATAAATCCCTGAGCGGAGACATTTTTGACCATGTTCTAAAGACCCCCCCAACCCTCCCACCGAGTTGGTCAGCTACTAAGCCCAGCCTTGTAGTGAAAGGTGTCAGGGACATTTAATTATTGGAGATCCATGCATTTTATGACACAGGCCCAATTATTAACGCTACTTGGGAACTAGCTCAACATGAAGTGCCTCTAGTGTGCAATCAGTGAATCTATTAAGAACCAAGTATTTGAAAGGAAGAACAATTAACAATGAAAAGACATTAAATGTTAAGACTAGGAGGTCATCATAGGTCAATAACTATTTAAATAAATAGAAATGTCAGACACTGAATTCATCTCTTTAACCTTATATTAAATCCCTTTTTTTTTTTTTTTTGCAATTGCCAATGTACTAGAAGATGAGAAATATACTTTAACCCATGCTTTTGGTTTGACATAGGTTTGTGTTAAATATCAAATAGCATTCTGAAAACAGTGATTTGTTGTAATTTAACTTTTGGCCCTTCAATGAAATGTTTACCAAATAATATACATATTAGGAGAACCTTCTTATTAATACCATCAACAATCTCTTACTACATTTGTCCTCACAAAACACTAATGTCATAGAAACACTACTTTAAATTCTTTATGACACTGTATTCAGATATGCAGCAAAATGTATAAAATGCGGAGAAAATATGGTGTGATGTACAACCATTTCCCTTTAATGGGGACACTAATCACATATATACACAGATTATCAAAGGAATGGAGAAAAAACTAATTTTCAATTGCAAAGAACTGGTTTAATGACTCAAGTTTTGCTTTGTGATTTTGTTATGGTAGGGTAATAAATAAATAAATATGCAGGGCATGGTATAGTTGCTTTCTCTCTGAAGAAGTTGATAGTGGGCTGTTGTTTTACAAGGTTAGTTTTTAGTAGCAAAGTTCCACTATAAGTTAAAAACATTCAATAAATGTTTTTTTCCCTACTGCATTTATAGTCTTTTACTTGTAAAATGATCACTGAAGTGGTTACTAATAGGTAATGAAATAAATGCCAAAAATTTGCTAGTGAAAAATAGTTTTGAACTGTGGGAAGCTATTGGCAGAGGACTTTGACACACGCAGCCTAATGCTATACACTACTGCAGTTTAAATTAAGTCATGTTTAATATCCTTTGGGAAGAGCAAAATATGATAAAAATAATTCCTTAAAAATGTATCAATATTGCTGTTTAGGTACCTAATAGAAAGTGATTAGCATTTCATACCAACTCTTTCCAAAATGTGAAACTACTGGCAACCATCATTATATACTCCGTTACGCAGACTTGGTATTTTAACTAGTAAAATCTGGAAAACACAAAGCACCTTCCCTTTTATCTAACAGTTGCTGTTTAGGCATTGGAACTGGAACACTCTCATGCTTCCTTTTGATTTAATCCTCAAAATAACTGCATGGCATTAGCCAGGAACAGTCATTTTTGACAGCAATCTCAAAAGCCTAAGAATACATACAATGAATTTTTCTATGCAGTTTGGGAAAAATTTGGTGACAATGAAATAAAAAAAAAATGCCCTCTTGACATGTATAAGACTTCCTCAACCTTTCTTACAAGTGTGAAGTGTGGTTTGCTCTGTTCTCCATATCCTTTTCAAATGTGAAAAGTAAATGTTCACGAGTGAAGACTGTGGCGTACAAATCATAAAACATTTATGTGCAGTCAGGAAACAACTATAGATTCAGACAGATCCTGACACAGCATTAAAAAAAAAAAAAAAGTTTTTCCAAGCTTCAGAAATTGATAAGCAGGCTGTCCCAAAGAGGGAAGACAGCAGCATCAGGACAACCGGCCATCTGGCTAGGATCCACACAACACTACTCATGTCCAATTAACACCTGACCTTAATAGCTACCCTGGCTGAACGGACACTGTGACTTCCTCTCACAGTGTTTAAGGAACAATGCAGTTCTAATTTAGCTTTCAAAAATGAACAAAATTTGTAACTCAGACTCCCCTCCCCCGCAACTGCCCCTTTAAGAATGCCAAAAGATCCTGTTTTAAGTGCTCTGGTTTACATTTCTATGGGTAACAATTACATCCTTTCAGGAGTTTTCCAATGTTCCCCTTTTTGGTGTTAATGGCTGTGCCAACAGCAACTTTGATACTCCCAGAAGTGGCCTGTGACCTCAGTGACCTCTGCCTGGGTCTTGAAGTTCAACTAGCTCTTGTCATATCAGTGCTGGGAAGTTCTGTTTGTTCATGAAGTCAGCTTTAAAACATGGAGAAGATGAGGGCACTGCCCTCCTGTGTCAGGTCTTGGAAGTCTTTAAGCCTTGTTTTTCCATGATGTTCCACAGTTTGCGGAGATTAGATTGCGTGATGACGTCATCTGGCTTAAGCTGCAAAGCCCTCAAGTAGTTGGCCTCTGCCTTCTGGAGACGGCCATTGAGGTGCAGAATGGCTCCCAGGTTCATTAGAGCAGCCGGATACTGAAACCAGAGAGGAAGGAGAACAATTAAGAGGCCATTTCAAGTTTTTCTTCATGGAAGACAAAAATCTTCATCCACTTATGCAAATGATTCCCTTATGTCTGTAGGCATTTTATGGAAGCAATTTAGCCATTCATACAAGTAGACAAAGATAACTAGCAAGGAAAAAAAAAAAGTTTTCCAACAGCTGCTGAGCACTTTGTACTTTAAAAAGAGCAGGAGGCTAGCGGAATAGTTTTCTTCTTTTAATGAGAAAGCACTGGTTACATGCAAAGATCTAGTAATCTAGTCAGACTGTAATTTTCTGAGGAAAAAAGTTGAAAGTGATACAATTTCAGAGGGGAAGAAATGAAATGTTTTCGACTTGGTGCCAAGAAATAAAAAATAAGTGGGAAAAATTGACAAACCTATGTGCACCACTTTGTTTCCTCCCCTTAGCAATATTCCAGGACATTTATGCAAATGTAGTAAGCAAAATATCTTGTAAAGTTTCACTGATGTTTTCAGGGTAAAAACTCTGAAACGAATTCAAATGCAACCACTAAATCCTTTCCAAATCTAACCCACATAGTTTAATGACACAGTCCTTATTTCTAAGTCAAATATTTATTTCTTAAACTTCTAATGGTGAATATTTACCATAAATATAACAAAGTAAAAACATATCAAAATTGATAAACAGAAAAATATAGCCTTTCTAAGAAAAATATACCCTTTATATTGCGATTATGCAGTTAAGTCATTTCTCAAAAGAATTTTCCACAATGTGTGATAACTGCAACATGAATATATAATGTAAAAAGCAAAGTTTATTAAAAAAGTATTAGTTATGTAGCACTAGTTTAATAGAAGGGCTTCCATCCCCAAATTCTCAGGCATTAGTTAACATCAATTAAAGTCCTTTCCAAAAAAATACACACACACACACACACACACATACACATACATATATTAAGATATATTTTATTTATTTATGTATACAAGAGCTGGGGTACAGGCCAGAGATGGGGGAGGGATAAGTGGATTCACCAGAGACAGAGTGGGGAGCAAAACAGGCAGATTGAAATACACTGCTGAGGGGAGCAGTTGGTGAGACAGGAGAGGTCCGTTGTGCCACGTGGGTTAGCTACCTGGCTGGGGATCGAACTCATGCTGTAGTGGCTGCAGATTGCTTCATAGTGCTGAGACTTCACACCTCATGCAAGTAGGGAGGCCCAAAATACACATATATTTTGCTAACTATCTAGTAATAAAGGCTGTCCTGTTCTTGTATTATCTCAGCAATATTCTAGCTAACAGAGAGCAGCTAATATTTTGGCAGTTACATAAATGCATATTTCAAATATCAGATAAAACTAAAAGTGTTTATGCTAAGATTATTCTTTCATTTTACAGATGATGGTGTCACCTATTAATTCTCCTGGCAAATCTGTGAAACAGCCTAAAATAATTGATATTTTTATGACTTAGTATTTTTACAATGTCTTCATTTTTCAGCTGAGATCATGTGATGCCACTCTTCACTATAAAAGCAATTAATTCTGAACCCAAACAATGCTGGGGAGATGGATGAATAGCTCAGAATAAACTAACTAGGAAAAGATGATCAGATTTGGTATTTAGAAGATTGGATATGAATTTTTGCTCAAACACTGACCTAAGACATCTGTGCCTCAATTCTTTCAATTACAAGTAACTGAAATAACATCAATTTTTTTTTTGCATGTTATTAGAAAGAAAAAGCAAGAAAATAAATGTAGCACAGTATCTGATGTAGTAGTATACACTACAAATGTCAGGTCCACTTTTTCTTGTCTCATTTCGCTTGATGTCTAGGAGATGAATGTTTGTGAATTTTTTGTTGCTACACAGACTATAAATTTTATTTCAATGGCTACATAATATGTCTCTGGATGCATATCAAAATCCCCTGAGTCCTCCACTCCTAGGCATTATTTTTCAACTTTTCTACATCCTTTTTTCTTTTCCAAAAATAAGGTTGCAAATACAAGCTATTCCTGACCTTCAAAAATCTTCTGGATGCGATGACTCTATACTTATCAAGAAAAATACAGATGGTCAATTTCTAATTTTAAACACCCATCCAAATAAACATAGCTTTAAATTACATGTGCAATGAATGGCTCCACATTGGAAACCTAAAATAACACTGCCTATTCTGTTTTCTTAAAAGACCTTTGTTAACATACCACCCATTATTATCTGGAGTTTCTTGATGTCTGGACACAATTTTGAATTATGTCTTCTTATAGAGCTTAGCACAACTATCAATAAACAGCTACTAAACTGATGACGAAGTGTGTTCACAGCCTGAATTACTAGAAATGCTAAGTAGATACCATGTTCAGACTTCTTGCTATCCTGAGTGGGAAGAGAGGAAATAGGGAGGAAGAACCACTGTTGGAGACCATTCCCTACTAACCAGAAACAAAAAACACCCAGAAATGGCGCTGAAAGAAACCAGATGGCTCAGTGGAATATACTTTGTTTTTTGAATTGCTTTATTATCAAATTGTAACTAACTATAACTGTAATACAAGAATTACTAAAAACAGGGCCTCCCTGGTGGCGCAGCGGTTGAGTGCTGGGTTGCAAAGCTGCCTGCAGCCTCTGCAGCGCCGGTTTGATCCTTGGCTGCTCCCCTGCCACTGGAAGAGGGTCCCACATGGCATGCAGACCTCTCCTGCCACCTGCTGCTCCCCTCAGCAGTGTACTTCGTTCCTTCTGCCTGCTCTGCTCCCCACTCTGGTGAATTCTCTCACCCTCCCATGCTTCTAACTGGACCCAGTGCTTATATAAATAAATAAATAAAAAGAATTACTAAAAACACTCAGGTTATAGTGTCATACTGCCTAGGTGCCAATGCTAGCTCCATGCCAGAGATGGTACACTTGAACAAGCAGAGAGTGCTTGAGATCTCTGTTTTGTCTATAAATGGATGCTAACAATACTTGCATAATAGGATTGTTGTTGATATCATACAAGAAGACAAAATTACTGCCTTTTCCCCTCTATGCCATCATTTTAAAAAACACAAAGCGGAATCTTCTTAACAGTTGCTTGAACAGCCACTAATTCAAATGTTGAGGATTTGTGAACTGGTTTTATCTTAATGAGTTTGCAGACTTTGTTAGATTAAACCTGTAAGATATGGATATGGAAATGGGTGGTGAAGAATACCAAACCATATAAATAAGCTTTATTAGTATTACTAATTGCAGCCTGAGTTTATTCTATCCTTGTAACAGTTTGATGTCACCTCCAAGACATCAAATAATGAAAACAAATTTATTATTATTCCAAGACACGAACAAGAAGTTAAATCTGCTATGAAAATGAGTTTTGAATGCTAGTTATTATGGTGTTTTTGGAATAACTTTAATTTTGCATTATCCACACTAGCATATTATACAAAAATAACCAAAAATTGAGATTATAAAGCTAATGTGGGATAACATCACATGGATGTTCCCTCACATATTCATATGGTATTCGTAAAGAGTAAAAGTCTAAACTAAAAACGTGAATATTTAAAAACAGTATTTTTAAGGAGCTATAGATTTCTATATCTAGATGTAACATTTGCTTTGGATGTGCCTATTTTAAGGAAGTTTATTTTAAAACTTACAAATATATGTTATATCATGTTAAAACATCACTAGAGCTTCTTATTTGACTGAATAGAAACTGATGAAATTTACATACTGGTATGTTCAAATGTGACATAATAATATCAGTGCCTTAGGTAAGAGATTTGAAAATGTCAACAGTTATTTTGATATAAACAATTCCATGTGTTTGTTAAACTTCCGTGACTAAAACTAGATACAGACATTTTCCTATCTAGTTATTTTCTCTCTTCAAACACAAGGGCTTTATCTTTTAAATCTACATGTCTCCTCGCCATAGCAATGACTGAGAGTAACTTATAGATGCTCATTGGATTGAATGTCTTCAGGTCTCTTCCAGTCTTGCTACAAAAAAATAATTTCCTGTTGTTGGTATGCTCACTAAAAAGTTAGAGGCACTGGTTCTGGAGGTCATTTCCAAATCCTAGATTATATAATTTTACAACTTCTTTGGGATGAAGTTTCTTAAAAGAGGATAAACGTTCCTACAGAACATGAAGTAGAATTTTTCTCCTGACTGAGTAATTATTTAAGTAGATAAATGTTCTTTTTTTTTTTTTAAAGATTTATTTATTTATTTATACAAGCACTGGGTACAGTCAGAAGCATGGGAGGGTGAGAGAATTTATCAGAGCCAGAGCGGGGTACAGAACAGGCAGACCGATGAAATACACTGCTGAGAGCAGCAGCAGGCACGGCAAGACAGGTCTGCCGTGCCATGTGGGACCCTTGTCAGTGGCCGGGGATGGAACCTGCACTGCAGAGGCGGCAGGCAGCTTCGCAGCCCAGCACTCAACAGCTGCGCCACCAGGGGAGGCCCTAAGTAGGTAAATGTTCTAACGAAACTTATTAAAGAAGCAAAAATGACTAAATGATATTAGACAGGAGAGGGAGTAAAAAGCCTTTTCGTAACCAAATTAGAGCACACAAGGCTTTCTACAGAGACATCAAGACTATCTGGCTATATAACTGAAAGGCAAGAAGTCCAGGTGACTGTCTGTCTGTCTGAGTACACACTGCTGTCATTGCTCTCTGCCAGCTCTGATTCATGGGCTAGGGAACAGAAACACGACCACAACTGCTGTGTCTTCCCTCACACACATCCTCTTTTATTAAAGACAGCTGATGAAATTTTCAGCACACTAACAAAGGCAGACAGCAGCTTGTAACTCAGAAACATGGGACTTGTGCTAAGTACAACAAATGACACCGCCTCCTACTTCACAGACTAGAAAGAGGAACCACATCTTTCTTGTTTCCTTGAAGAGGACAGATGCTTTACATCAAAGGGGCTGTCTGGCAGCCATACTGAGGCAACAAATGATGTCTTTTTCCAAGTCTCTAGGGAAT